TTATTATTAAATTATTACTAATAAATACTAATAAAATTAATCCGTCCCTTCTTTTTTATTATAGGTTAATATACCAGACAATGTCACTGAGAGATATTCTCATTCTCTCTCAGTTTGTAGTGTGACTCCAACCACTAACTGGATAATTGTGTTTGGAGGAAAGAGGAACTTTTCAACAATCATAAGTGATCCAGCAGTTATTGAACTCAGTGAGTACATGTACATGTAGATTTGCTTATTAACTAACTCAAATAATTGATTATAATAATATTGTGTTACTGTATAGGATATACTAGTAATAATGATTGGTCTACTAGTATAATACCTCTGGACCAGTATCAAGAGAAACTACAAGAAAGGAGAAGAGAATGGGAAGCATCTCAACCTGTTCAACCTGAGGATAGAAGAGAATCTCACTGAACGTTGTCTGCTACAGACAAACAGCATCCAGCAATATCTGTAAATAATTTCAATTACTTTGAATTTTTTAATGCGGAGCTATTAAATTAATTTTTATTTCTGACAAAAATCAAATTAATGCCTTGATTATGTGACAATTGTGATTGTCATAGAAGGGCGTTACCTCCAAACAAAATGGCAGCCAAAGCACCAGGTCAGTATTTTGTTTATACTTGATTATGACTCGTGTGTTGTTACTATTAGTGTATCATTCAGTTACTGTTACCTCTTGTTATCTATAGACTATCAACCAGCGGAGAGGTACAGACACTCCACTGTACGGGTAGGAGACTACCTGTACATGTGGGGTGGGCTCCAGCCTGATCTCCCTGAAGTACATAATAATGAAAAGAAGAAATCAATGTGTTCTGTGATGGAGGTGTGTCACCTAAGGACTGGTAGGTGGGAGCAGAAACCCACCACTGGTAACCCTCCACTGGGTGCTGATGGCTATGCAGCTGCTGCCATTGGAAGGGAAATATTTTATTTCGGAGGACATTGTAATCATGGTGACTGTTTTCATAATAGTTTATACAGGTAAACATAATAGTTACTGATAAATATTATTATTTATACAGTTTTAATGTTGATACGTTCAATTGGAAGGAACTCTTTCCTACTACATCTCATCATGGTCCTATGATGAAGGCCTACTGTGACATGATAGCAATAAAAGTGAACGGTGAGGACTATCTTGTAGTAATTGGAGGATCTGGACCATCTTCTAATAATACACCCAAACAACCTGGTGCCCAGTACAGTGGTAGAGGTTATCAACGATGCAATGAGATCCATTTCTATAAACTCTCAACAGGTCAGAGCACATACAGTTTATATTAATATAATGAAGTATTGTTATTTGGTGGTTCTCCACTCAGACTGGTTGCATTGAGAATTGCTTGCTTGTTTGTTCATGGTTGTCACTCCTAATTATTTGATAATATGATCAAAGAAATATAAACTAGTTTGCTCCATCCAATGCATTCCATTCACACTAATTATTATTATTGATATTTTTAGGACAATGGATATCACCGACTGTCACTGGAGACAGACCACCTCCTATTGATAAATTCACTTTAACATCAATTAATAATTCCAGTGCTATATTATTTGGAGGTATCACTGCTAATGGAGACAGTAACAATGTATATATTCTTAATTTTACTGATACATCAGTGGTGAGTGTATTATTAGTATAATTACATTAATTATTAATTAATAATGTATTGTATGTGTGTATTATTATTCATAACACTGAGTGTGTGGGTGTGGTTTATGATAATGAAATTTAATTTTATTATT